GTGTCTGGTGCATAAACACCCTGATGGCCAAGTGGAGTCACATGTCATTTGGACAGGTCCTGTGCCATGCCACCTCTTGGATTTCAGTTGCACTGTGCCCGTTGCGTGAATCCCCGCCCCTTGCAAGCTCTGTCTGTCTTAATTCAAGTCCTGGCCTCTCTACAGAGCGTGTGCCCCCTGCCGCAGTCTCTGCACCCCTCCCCCAGCCCCGCCACAGCCTTCACTTTCCGCATTCACAGGGCACGGGGGACTCACTGCCGTGGTCAGTGCTCCTTTATGCCTGGTTAGCTCCTCCCACTGAAATGGATGCCCCCTGAGGGCAGGCCTTGTCCAACTCACATCCACGCCCCAGCCCCAGCCAGTGCTCTTCACGTGGCAGGTCTCGGTAAACGTGTAGTCAGCGTGTGTCGCGGGTCTTGGTAAATGCGTATTCAGCGTATATCGAGGGTCTCAGTAAATGCGTAGTGTTATGTTGCGGGCCTCGGTAAATGCGTATTCAGCATATGTTGTTGGGGACCTCGGTAAATGCGTATTCGGCGTATGTTGTTGAGGGCCCCCAGTAAATGCGTATTCAGCATTTGTTGTGGGTCTCGGTAAATGCGTATTCAGCGTATGTTGTGGGTCTTGGTAAATGCATAGTCAGTGTACCTCTTGGCTCCTTGACCAACCCCAACTTCTCATAGTTTTAGGGTGTGGGGCAAGTCTGTGGAATGTTACTACAAAGTGATCCCGGAAAATGTCCCCACAGGAACATGCACACAGCGTCTTCAGAATCATCCCCTTGGAATGCCTGTCAGGAAACCAATCTTTTTATCTACTTCGGGAACACTGTGACCTTTCGTTTCGCACAGAATGCCTGTGAGTGACAAGAGGGGTCATCGGGACACGGCCCTCAGGGGCACGTTGTCCAAGGTGTCCTGAGAGCAGGGCAGGCTATGGAATCCTGGACTGGGAAGAGAAGCGCCCCCGCCCTGAGGAGCTGGCGTGAGCTTCATTCTCACCATATCCTGTGGTCAGCCAGCACTGTCCAGAGCCGCTCTGTGCTAGGCTTGTGCCAGGCATGTGGATGCCACTCTGGACAGGGCGTGGCCTCATCCTGATGGGGCTCTGGGTGACTCAGGGGATTTGGCAGCCCATCAATAGGCAGTGGAAATCTGGTGCAATGCCTGCATCCCACGGACATGTCTTGGGCTCTGCAGGCCAGGGTGGGGAAGACTTTCCAGAGGGGCTGATGTGGAGCAGGGCCCCAGGGAGAAGGCTGCCAGGCGGAGGGAACAGCTCGGGGTGTGGGAGTGGGTGCGGTGCCCAGGGAGTCCCGGGCCATGTAGAGGGTGAGCAGAGGGGGGCAGCTGGAGGACTGGGGACAGGCTTGGGAAGGGGCTCCGTGGCCAACCAGAGAGTTTGGGCTTTATCCCACCGGGACAGAGGAATCCTGGAGGATGGAAAGCAGAACTGGGGTTTCCGCTCAGACATGAGTGTGGGTGGAGCCTGTGGTTGCTGTTGGAGGCTGGATGGCTGCGGACAGAGACTGGAGAAGGTGGTGAGAGAAGCTGGCTTTAGGGAGAGGGGGCTGTAGGGAAGCGGAGAAAGGAAAGCGCAGGGTGTCATCTGGAAAGCAGCTGGAAGCCAGTCAGTTCTAGTCTGCTGTCAAATAGGAAATAAACGCTCTCCTCCAATGCAGCTGGCAACGCGAAAGACACGGACCCAGGGCTGCCTCCGCCCCTCATAAATTCGCAGCCTCCCAACCCAGCAGGGAACGTGCTGACCCTGCCACACGCCTCATCTCAGCCGCACATGTGCCACGTGGCTGGGAGAAAATCCTAATGGCAACCCCACCTCCCAGGGTTTCCACCATGACCTCTGTCCTGAGGCCCCTGGGGACCCCAGGTTCCTGCCGTCCTGGTTCAAGTCACTCCCCACATGTGGCCTCCTTCACGGGGATCTCAGCCAGAGGAGACTCCCTTGCTATTCCACACAGGAAAGAACCAATAAATAAAGACAGATTCCCTCTAGGTAGTGACATCTGGAAAAGAGATGAACAGAAACAAACCATTTTGATTTAAAAAACAGCTGAAGCCTGTCATCTTAGTTAAGACAGCAGAAAGGGCCAGACAGGCTGGGCTCCCAGCGGGGCTGCTGGGGAGGGTGGGGGGCTGCCTGGCCAGAGGGGCCAGGAGGGCTGCTCTCCCAGAATCCGAGGTGCCTGCTCCACAGAGCGAGGCAGATGCTTCACTCGCAGCTGTGTTTTCAGACCTGGTTTGAGACTTGCCTGGGTAACAGATACCCTTAAGGAAATGAGAGTGTGGGCTCTGGAATGTCAGGATTGGCTAGACCTTGGAGACAGCGGCGCATGGAATGGTTGAGAATAGACTGGACGCTAAATAGACTTGGAGCTGGCTTTGAACCCAGATGTGTCTCTCTGTAGAACACTTACTCACCTTGTGGCTTTAGCATTAATGGGACATCTCTGGGCCCTGGTTTGCCTAATCTGAAAAATAGGGGTAGTAACAGAATCCTTGAAGGATGGTGCTGAGATCACTTAGCCTAAAGCCTGACACGTGATGGGTGGTAAGTAATGGGAGTGGACGCTGGCAGTCCACCAGCCCCACCACGCCTGCCTGCACACCCATTTTACAGATAAGAAAACTGAGCAGTGGCGGGTCACCTGGGGCACACAGCTAGTCCAGGGGGGCCTGGAGGCAGGCATCCTAACTGTGAACACTGTTCTTTTCCAGCCCATCATGTTTCGCCTCCTTTTTCCTACTCATAGCCCCCGTCAGCACTCAGCGAAAATGTTGATCACATTATGCATGGGCTAGCTTATACTGCGGGCACAGACCTGGTTCCCCTCAGCTGTCTCAGTGGCACGCACAGCCCCGTTCCAGGACAGTGTAGTCATCTTTGTGAGACACTCTTGCTCTCTCCTTGCTAGAATTCTCAGAGTATAACGAAGCAATTTCCAAACTGAATTCACATATGCTTCCTGAAAAATTGAAATTTACCAATGAAATGTGTTAGGATCCCAGTTTAAATGCCACACCTGGCCTGGCGTGATGGCGCACACCTGTAATCCCAGAGCTTTGGAAGGCTGAGGCAGGAGGACCGCTTGAGACCAGAAGTTTGAAGCTGCAGTGAGCTCTAATGACGCCACTGCACTCCAGCCTGGGTCACAGGGCAAGATCCCGCCTCTAAAACCAAACCAAACCAAAAACCACTTTGCACTCCCTTGCTCTCTCACTGGGGTGTGTTTGTACAGCTATTTGCCACAACTTCACCCAGCTCGTTTTAAAATAAAAAACTGTAAGGGCCAGGCGTGGGGGTTCACGCGGTGGTGTGCATCTGTAATCCCAGCTACTCGGAGGCTGACGTGGGAGAATCACTGGAACCCAGGAGGCCGAGGTTATAGTGAGCTAATACCGCGCCACTGCACTCCCATCTGAGTGACAGAGCAAGACTTCATCTCAAACAAAAAAAAGAAAGAAAGAAGGAAAGAATAAACTTAATTTTTTAGAACAGTTTTATATTTACCAAAAAATAGTGAAGCAGGTACAGAGTCCCCCATATCCCCTGCACCCAGCTGCCCGTTATTAACATCGTTTGTTACAATGAACAAACCCACATTGATACAGTACTCAGACTTTCTCAGTGTTTAATCCTTTATGTCCTCTCTTTGCTCCCCATGACATTAGTCGGCACGTCTCTTTAGGTTCCTCTTGGCTGTAGCAGTTTCTCAGACTTTGTTTCTGATGACCTGGACGGTTTCGGGGAGCACTGGCTGACTGTTTTACAGGATGCCCCCCTGTTGGGATTCGTCTGATGTTTTCCCCATGGTAAGCCTGGGGTTGAGTTTGGGAGGAAGGCTGCAGAGGGAAGTGCCATTCTCATTGTGTCACAGGAGGACATCGCGTGACTTCTCACTGTGACGTTACCTGGATCACCTGGCAGGGGCGGCCTGGCTCAGGTATCTCCACTGCACAGTTCCTCTGTTTCTTCATCTTAACTTTTTTTTTCTTTTTTTTTTTTTTGAGATGGAGTCTCACTCTGTCGCCCAGGCTGGAGTGCAGTGGCATGATCTCGGCTCACCACAACCTCCGCTTCCCGGGCTCAAGTGATTCTCCTGCCTCAGTCTCCCAAGTAGCTGGGATTATAGGCACCCACGATCACACCCAGCTAATTTTTGTATTTTTAGTAGAGATGAGGTTTCGCTATGTTGGCCAGATTGGTCTCGAACTCCTGAACTTAGGTGATCCACCTGCTTCAGCCTCCCAAAGTGCTGAGATTACATGCATGAGCCACCATATGCAGCCCATCTGAACTTTTTAAAAAAAATTATTATACTTTAAGTTCTGGGGTACATGTGCAGAACGTGCAAGTTTGTTACACAGGCATACCTTGCCATGGTGGTTTGCTACATCCATCACCTCGTTATCTACATTAGGTGTTTCTCCTACTGCTATCCCTTCCCTAGCCCCCAACCCCAAGCCCTGATGTGTGTGATGCTCCCCTCCCCATGTCCATGTGTTCTCATTGTTCAACAGCCACCTATGAGTGAGAACATGTGGTGTTTGGTTTTCTGTTCCTGTGTCAGTTTGCTGAGAATGATGGTTTCCAGCTTCATCCATGTCCCTGCAAAGGACAGGAACTCATCCTTTTTTATGGCTGCATGATATTCCACGGTATATATGTTCCACATTCTCTTTACCCAGCCTGTCATTGATGGGCATTTGGGTTGGTTCCAAGTCTTTGCTATTGTGAGCAGTGCTGCAGTGAACATGTGTGTGAATATGTCTTTATATTCACATGAATGATTTATAATCCTTTGGGTATACACCCAGTAATGGGATTGCTGGGTCAAATGGTATTTCTAGTTCTAGATTCTTAAGGGATTGCCACATTGTCTTCCACAATGGTTGAACTACACCAACAGTGTAAAAGCGTTCTTATTTCTCCACATCCTCTCCAGCATCTGTTGTCCCCTGATTTTTCTTTCTTTTTTTTTTTTCATTGATAAAAATGTATTGCAGTTTGGCACCTAGAGTAATAGCAACAGGAATAAAATGTAATTTCAAAAAGAGTTAAGATTTCTTCAGCAAAATAGATGATTCACATCAAGTCCTTTTTGCAGTCAGTTATTAATATTCTTTCCTCATTTCCATCTAAATGACTACAGCAATACAGTTTTTAGTTACTTGACATTTTTAAGCCTGTAACTACTAGGCTATGCATAGCCCCACGTGCTAATCAGACATTCATTGCTCCCAGGTCTCCAACTACTTGTGCGCGCCTCCTCTTTCCTCCCAATCTCACGGTTACTCTTAATAACTAGTAAACGCAAAAAGAACTTTTAAAGTGGCAAGGCATGGCCCACCCACAGTCAGCCCAAGAGCAGTTCTCAGCCCTGCCTCACCTGGTCTAGTTCAGTTGGCGGATGAGCTGATTGATGCGTTCACCCCGATAGCCAGGTGTGCCCATCTCCTTGAGGAAGCCCACTCTATTTTTGGTAGCATGACAGGCCACTGAGAGGTGGAAAGGGCGCAAGAATCATGAGATCTTCTGGAAATGCTTCCCTGGGAAGGCAATTTCATGAATGAGGTCTTCCAAGCAAATGACACCAAACTTCCCCAGGTGCTCCTCAATCACAGTGTTGTCTGTCAGAGGGATGGTGGTATTCTTGACTCTGGCTTGTCCACGTTTCAAAATGAGTTCCCGGACAGACTTCAGATTTGGAAATCCCCAGGACACATAAGGTTCCACTATATGCAGCATTTTTAGGTTCTGGGGAGTGACTTTTACAAAGACACCACGAAAAATTTTCTTTAGGTGAAGTCTTGCAATGGTTCTCTGCACCAGTAAACTCACACCATCAATCCTTTCAATGCGTACGACAAAGGCCAAAGAATGTTTATCTGGCAATTCCAAGGCGTGAGGCTTCACTTCCAGTTGTCTGACACGCACCTTGTCACGTGTCTGCCGCCAGGAATCATGTGGGAATGATTCCAATCGCTTAAACCTGGGCCCTTTTCCTTTCCTCTGCTCCTTCTTTGCCAAAAGCGCCTGCTTTGCCTGAGTGGCTTTGAGGGCTCGATACGCCTTCCTCTTTTTCAGGAGATTTTCTGGAACTAAAGGGATTTTTCTTTGCTCTTGCTCCGCCGTCTTTCTGGTGTAGCAGCTACTGATCTTGTCCCCTGATTTTTCAGTCATCGCCATTCTAACTGGTGTGAGGAGCCCATCGTAACTTTTTAAGAAAGATTACATTGCGTCTCTCAGGTGAGCCTGTTGCCCATTTCTTGTATGAATGCCTGGTCCATTTCATCTTCTGTGCCACATGGCAGCTCATTTCTTACCACACGGCCCATGCCCACAGTGCCCCAGAGCCACCTTATATAATAGATGAAAGGTCCCTTGGAGGGCAGCTGGCCCAATCTGGAATTTGACAGATGGGGCATCAGAGGCTCAGAGAAGGGTGAGCGGTGAGCCCAGCGTGGCACAGCAGTGAGGAGGCCAGGAGGAAAATGGGTCTCTTGGGTCCCATTCCCATGCTTTCCCTCCTGGACCACACCTGACCCTCTGGCTTTGACAGGGAGACAGGCTTCACTGCCTCTCTCATTGCTGTGACCTCTTCTGGTCGTGGGCACACCTCATCCTTAACAGATTCCTACTAGGGGAGGGGCGCCTAGAGGATCCTGGGAGGGGAGGACTCTCTGCTGCTCAGCCTGTGTTCCAAAGCCCTGGCCGTGCCTTCTTCAGCCCCTTCCAGACGGCCCACGGCTGTGATGGAAGTACATGGCCTCTGACCCCTGATTCAGCAATCCCTTAGGTGGAAGTTCCTTTCCATTCTTTTTTTGGTGGGGAATGGATCCTGGCCAGAATTTCTTTAAGAGTTAGGCTCACTGATAAAGAGATGGATTCCAAGGACACTTTGCTAGAGGCTGCCCTTCAGAGACTGTGGACTCCTGGGCTGTCTCACTGTCCTGGCTGCTTCAGAAACCAAAGCCATTTCAGATGTGGCGGTTAAATGAATGCAGCAATATACTCTTCTGACTCATCTCACGAAAGCACCTCTGAGATTTGATATGTCCCTCTATGTGTGGGGTCTCGCTTCAGTTCCAAAACACGTTCTGAAGTCTCCGTTACGCCCGCTCTTTGCCCTTTAAGCCTGGTAACAGCTTTTCTTACAAAATAGTACGATCTGACCTGGCTTCCTCAGCACCATTCACCCTGAGATCATTGGCAAAATACTCAAGGTCCAACCTCCAAGTAGACCAGTGGGACCTGTGAGCCCCTTAGGACGTCCTCAGACCTTAGGAAAGGTGAGTCCCTTGTTGGGGAGCTTGGAGGAGTGGAAAGAATCCTCTTACTTGGGGAGCCAACAAGCCAGATTCAAACCTCAGCTCCACCAGTGACCAGTCGCCTCCCTTTTAACCCCCAAGTCTCAGCTTCTCATTGGGAAAATTGGAGGTAACAAGGCCTACATCATGTGGAGGCCATATGGATCGAATTAAATCTGGCCTACTGGAGGCTGTCAGTAAGGGCAAAAAAAAGAGAGAGCGCGTATAAAAATACTAGTAAATGTATCTGTATGATGGTTGCTCATTCACAAATGCACTGTCATGATTTAGCTCATTTTTGCTTTGATGGTGGAAGGTGACAGGCTGGGTACTATTAATCCCTTCACACGGAAAGACACAAGCTCAGAGGGGCTGTTCTTTGCCCAGATCCTGCAGTTTTTCATGGAGGGGCTAGGAAAGGAACCCAGGGCTTCAGAATCCATTTCCCTGCGCCAGAAAGAGACATCTGCCTGCGTCACTGTCAGTTAGGGTGAGTAACACCAGCGTCTGCAGCCAACAAATCCAGAAATCTGTGTCCTAACAGGAGGAGCACGTTTGTCACTCTCATCATAGCGCAGTACAGGCTGCAGTGGGTTGGGGTGGAGGGACCCTCTGTTCCACACAGTCACTCAGGCCTCCAGGCTGCTCCCATTTTGTGGCTCCTTTTTTTTTGAGATGGAGTCTCGCTCTGTGGCCCCTGCTGGAGTGCAGTGGTATGATCTCAGCTCATTGCAAGCTCTGCCTCCTGGGTTCAAGCGATTCTACTGCCTCTCGCCTCAGCCTCCTGAGTAGCTGGGATTACAGGCGCGTGCCAGCACGCCCGGATACTTTTTGTATTTTTAGTAGAGACAAGGTTTCACCACGTTGGCCAGGCTGGTCTCGAACTCCTGACCTCAAGTGATCCGCCCACCTCAGCCTCCCAAAGTGCTGGGATTACAGGTGGGAGTCACCGCGCCTGGCCGATCCTTTTTCCCCCAAGCCCTCTGAGTCTTTTCTAGTCGGTGGATAGGAAAGTGAGAGTGGGGAATTGGGCATGGCAGGTTATTGGCCAGGCCTGAAAGTGGTAACATGGCTCTGCCCCATGTTATTGGCAAGAGTCAGTTACATAGTATCAACTAGGGGTCCCAGGTGCTGTCCGAGGTGGTCTTTGTGCCCAGGAAGAAAACAGTTAACTGCATAGACACCCAACGCATGAAACAAGGCCAGTGGGCTCACAGCATTCCCTTCTGTGTCCCCTGTTCCAGCACAGCCATACTGATCAAAGTCCTTCCTGGAGGAATGCCATGTCTCCCTGGCCTGTTTCCTGAAGAAACAAGATGATAATCTTGACCCTGCAAGCTGTAGGCATTTTTATGGAGGAAGATATGGGGAGAAGAAGCTGCCATACCTCTCCCTCCACTCCCTTCGCTGTCTTTCATCTGGAGGAGCCAGAACAGATGTGGGAGGTGGTGGGCCCATCTGACTGGGAGCCAGGGCCCAACTCCCCATCCAGGCCTCACGCTGGACCCCGTTGCCCCCGGTGACCTGTACCCCTGAGAGAATGCCAGTGGTCCTTGCATAGGTCACTCGCCTTTGAGGCTGGGCTAGCAGCTCAGAGAAGGGGCTAAAGGGGAGGAATAGAGCCATGGTTCCACCTGGCTCCGGGGACGGGGCTTGAAGCTGGCTCATTCCAGAGAGCTCCTTCTTTCCCTACGGAGGCCACAAGCCCCCGGCTCAGCACCGTAGCCTTTGTTACCTGGATTATTCAGGATCTCCACTGTGGGAAGTGAAATTTTTTTTCAGATGGGAAGTGATTTGTAAAACAGCCGATAGCATTAATGACAAGCCTATTTAGCTGATAAAATTAGCCATCAGAGGAATAACTTATGTTATCCTTTTGCCATAATTTAAATTTATGGCCAACTACCAGTCATCTTCACAGTGGATGGAAAGGGGCCAAGGTCGATCTCAGCTTTATCCGGCTCCTAAATCATTAGTTTGCAACTGTCTCCCGATTTTTATTGTTACCAACAATGGCGAAACTAATGGAAATAAACATTGGATGCCATCCCAACAGCAGATGGATCTGAAGGCAGGGCAGTCTGTGCAGACAGCACTAATAGGCTAGAGCAGAATTACTGCTATCGCATTAGATACCATCGAGCTTCTGGCCAAAGTGTGCATTGATCAGGCCAAGGCCCCTGTCAGTTGGACTCGCAACCGGACCATTAAAGGCAGAGAAGCGCTGGGTGTGCCCGTCCTGCCGCCCCGGTGGGGCTGACCCCTCCTGGGCTTGCATTAAAAGCCCAGCCCCGATGGAAGGGGCCCGACTTACTCCAGTAATGCACACTGCGGGCTTCCCTGTGGATCCCAGATGATCTGGTCAGGTGATCTGATTAGAAATACTTAGCTAATGTTGTGCGCTAAATAGGGCTGTGACTGCACTTTAATTCTTCCCAAGCCTGGGGGTGGTCTTTTTTTTTCCACTGGCCCATTTGCCAATGGAAGATTTGCTTCATCAAGGCCACCATGCGCCTTCTTTTCCTGAGGCACAGGCCCGCGTGAGCTCTGGGGAGCCCCAGTGCAGAGGTGTCTCTTCCTGCCTTCAGCAGTTTCACTGCAAGGTGCTTCCATGTGGGTTTCTGTTTTTTTTTTTTTTTTTTTTTTTTTTGTATTTTTCCTGGTTAGGACTTTCTGAGTTTCTTGAATTTGTGGCTTGATGTTTTTCATTGGATTTGGGAAGTTCTTGCCGTGGTTTGTTTATTCACTGCGACTGTCTCATTCCTCCCCTCACGGAGCTCCAGTTGCACCTGAGGCCATTTGGTTGCATCTCACATCTTACATCTCATATCCTATTCGGCTCCACTATTCATTTTCTCTCTCCTCCTCCTCCCTCTCTCTCTCCTTTTTTAATGGCTGTAAGTTTTGATATTTTTCTATAGACCTGTCTTCAAGTTCAACAATACTATGTCTAGTCCCCTGTTAAAACCATCCAACCAACTACTCAATTTCAGATACTGTATATCAAGGTTCTGAAAGTTTGATTTGGTTCTTCTTAGAGAGGCTAGCTCTCTGCTGAAACACTACACTCATCTTGGCTGTCTTTCCCCCTAGTTTTGTTAACACATTAACTGTAGTTATTTTGAAGTCCTTGTCTGTTCACTCAAATATTGACCCAGGTCAGCTTCTATGACCTGCTTTATGGCTTGATAACCCATGATGTTTTCTGCTGATTTGCATGATGAGTGATTCTCACGGTGTGCTCCACATCCTTCATGATGCATTTTAGACGTTGTGGGTTCTGTTACGTTGCTCTCTGAAGAGATGGTTCCCTGGGAACGGGGCATTTGGCGGGGAGTAGGGGAGGGCCCTCAAAACGGCATGGAGCCTTAACTGCACTTGCACCTCATGGCCTCCAGGTGGGGTCCTGGAGCTGGTACAGAGCTCGTCATAGACTGGGAATTCAGTGAGTCCATTTGCCTTACTGGATACACAGTGAAACGGAGGCCCGGGGAAGAAAAGAGGTTCACCCAAAGTCAGGGCGAGGGAGGGGTGATGGGCCAAGAACTCAGCCTCCAGTCTCCAGCCCTTGCTCTTTCCCTCTGGTGACTTCCTGTTTGCCTGGCCCCTGCTACCATCAAGCTGCCCTGGATTCTGCTGGGCTGACTCACTTCCATCTTGCCCATAAGGCTGCAAGTTCCTTGGCACAGGGTCTTGGGGGCTGGAAGGCAGGGCTGTGGGCTGTGGCCCCTGCTTTGCTTCTGAAGCACCATCCAGTCTTGGCCTTTCCCCCACCCTCCCTCCCAGCACAGAAGGCTCCTTCCCACCTCCGGGCCGCGGTTCCCCATCTGACTCATGAGGCTCTGATGTCCTAGGGCCCCTGGGCAACACTGCAGAGGCACATTGTGGCCATGATAAGCAGGGCAGGAGCCAGGAGGCCGGCTCTGAGGGTCTCACTAGAACCTCTGGAAACCCCCCTGCGCTGTCCCAGCCAGTGAC